AAAGGCCGTGTTCCCCCTTTAAACTTCCATCCAGAACTTTTCCCCCCTCTCTCTCGCTGTTTTCTGTCTCTGATTCTCTGTTTTTGACACTATTGAAGGAAGCTCAAAGGCGCCCTAAGCCGGCGATTAGCTAAATGTTAACTGAGACCTACTTTTCTGCACCAATTCAAATACGTAAAATGAAATACGTAAAATGACTGCAAGATGCTACAAATCATAGAGAATACTGGAGTATGGCCTGTGTGGTAAATGCCATATATCTGCACTTTAATCAGCAATATACATAATACAAATTGAAATAGAGAATTGACAAAATCATTTAGCGAGTGTGTCAGGGTGGCTAGAAAAAACCTGTCCTCAAAACTTCTTGGGGAAACAAGGGCAGGAAATCTGAGACGGGCCAGGCACAACTCGCGTCGCCCGCCAGGACTACTACGTTAAATATACGCTACATAGGCAAACTACATCTAAGAACAACAATATACGTGAACAATGAAATTAAAGCAAAAGTGCTTTTGACACGCTTAAAAAGTCATCAGACGTGTGCTTAATATACCTACTTTTTGAAGAAGGACACTTCCACCCCGCATACATATCCAGTGGGTCACCTGGAATACGCCCGCAAGCGGGGTTGGACGCGGCACCAGACTTAATACTATGCATACCGAACTTGGAAACATCATCCACGAAAGGCTGTATGTGCTTTTTAAATTCATCCCTAAGCGTAGTTACAGAAACCCCTTTGCTACGTGGATACAGAAAAGGAATCTCATTGAATATCTAAGCGTAAAGCTAATACTCTAAATTTTGCGCAGCCGCGAAACACTGACGCGCGGGATTTATAATTTGATAATTTGATTTATAATTTATAATATCTATCCCGGCCCTTTTGCCAGAAGGTTGCTTATCGCTGGAAGGGCAAAAACCTCTACCAAGAACGGCTTAAACTGACATTCCTGGCGTAGAAAAGGCCAAAATTACGACGAGAGCCATTCTGGAATGATCAAGGTTCCGCGACCGCCACATGATGTCAGGTGACAGACGGAATCGACTACGAGGCTGATTGGGGGATATATCCAGTTA